GGGGGGGGTCTCCCTTCCCACTCTCTGTTTTTCTCTCTCCCCTCCCATTCAAGGAATGGGCTGGGTGACCCTATAAGGTAGAGAAGCCCCCCCAGAGCAGAGGATAAGAAAGGGGGGGATATCAAAAGCTGCCCCCCCCTTATTTAGACTTCTCTAAAGGGGGGGGAGATACCCTTCCCAAGCCAGCACCCCCTCTCCCCAATTCTGCAGCCCCCATTGGGGAAGGGGCTGCCTGCCCCCTTCCTGAGCCCCCCCTTCCCTTGAGGAGGGGGGGGATGAGAAGGGGGGATGAGGAGGGGTCTTCCTCCCCCCACCCCACTTTTGGGACCCTCACCCACTCCCCTTGCCCCCCCCAAATGGAAGACACCCCCCTCTTTTAAAGGGTGTGTGGGGTCTTCCGCCTGATAGAGGGCAGAAAGAGCCCCTTCTCATGTACCGGGGGGGGGGGAGAGAAATAAAGAAGGGGGGCAGAGGGAGAAAGTGGGGACCCCCCCTCCCCTCCCCGCCTCGCCCTCCTCCCTACCTGCGCGCGCAGCCCCTGGCTCGACCGGTGCGTCTTCCAGCCGGCGGACTCACATCCTTCCCGGCAGGCTTTGCGGCACCGGCGGGCGAGCGCGCGGCCCCGCCCCCAAACAACCGCCTTAAAGGGGAGGCGGAGGAAAGGAAGGGTGGGGGAAGAAGGCACGTCGGAGGACAAATAACCCTCCTCGGCGGCCCCCTCCCGCGCCGCTTCTCTTAAAGGGGAAGGCGCCTACCTGACGAGGCTTCCCGTTTGGATGGGGGAAGATGCTCCAGCTTGCAAATTACTAATATAATAAATATAATATAACAATATATTTTAATATAATGTATTTTAATATAAATTAACATAATATAAATATAAAATAGATCATAAAATGTCATATATAATGATTAATATTTAATATTAATTTGTACTTTACTCATTTGATTCTTTTTGTTAGTTCTTATTGTTTTTATTTTTATTTTTTTGTTTTAAATATGATTTTACATTGTGTAAGCCGCCTTGAGTTGCCATGGGTGAATAGGCAGCAGTATAAATCAAATAAATAAATAAATAAACAAATAAACAAATGAAATATATTAATATAATATAAATTAACTTGATACACATACATACACATACATACATACACACATATATATATAAACTTAAGAAAACATATATGTTTTCTTATATATATAATATATATAATAAAACATATATAATATAAAATACAAATATACAATATGAGGGGGTGTTGCTGCAGAAGCCCCCCCCCCAACTTGTTCCTGGTTGGATGTTGGATGTTGCATGGCAAAATATTGAGAGGGGGGAAATGCCACGTTGGAGAAGGCCGGGTGCACGATGAGGACTAGGATCTTGACTTTGATTAGGGAAGAGTGCTCGCAGGCAAAAAATAATGCCCGATTTGCACGAGAGGGATGGAGGGAGGTTGGAGGTTCCCAAATCTAATCTCCAGCCTTTGCTAGTTTAGGGAAGAGCGCCTTCCCTAATCTCTCGTACTCTCTCATGTCTGGTTTTAATTCATTTAAAATGACCGCCTAGTTCAGCGAATCGATGTGCTGTGGGACCTGGACAGGCCCTAAACCACTAGGAGGACCAGCAGGAACGGAAAAGCAAGCCGGATGCCTGAACGTCTAATACCTACAGGTAGTCCTTGACTTAGTTCATTTAGTGACCAAAGTTTCAACAGTACTGGGGGGGAAAAAAGCGAATTATGGCTTTTTTTTACACTCATGGCTGTTGCAATCAAGATTCAGACGCTTGGCCGCTGACTCGTATTTATGATGGTTGCAGTGTGTGTGTGTGTGTGTGTGTGTGTGACAAAGCCCACTTAACAAGTGCTTTGTTTAGCAACAAATGTTTGGGCTCCATTGTGGTCGTAAGTTGAGGCCTCCCTGTATCAACTATTTGACGTGGGAGCTGAGCTCTTCTCTCCTCTGCCATTTTGGGGTTCTGGAAAAAACGGGGGTGACTCTTCCTCATGTGGTTTCTAGTTTCTCTATCGCCACATTTTGACACCCAAATCTCGGCTGACAGCTTTTCTTGCGTTCTTTCTTCCTCCTTTCTGGATAGTTAACAATTGGCCTCCATTAAATCAATCAATCAAAACTCACCTCAATCAAATCAATCATAACCCATGTCAATCAATCAATCAATCACAACCTGCCTTAATCAATCACAACCCACAAAATTAATTCAATTCAATCCAATCACAACCCACCTCAAATCAATCATAGCCCATGTCAATCAATCACAACCCACCACGATCAATCACAACCCACCTCAAATCAATCATAGCCCATGTCAATCAATCAATCACAACCCTCCACGATCAATCACAACCCACCTCAAATCAAGCATAGCCCATGTCATTCAATCAATCAATCAATCACAACCCACCTCAAATCAAGCATAGCCCATGTCAATCAATTACAACCCCTCAATCAAATCAAGCATAGCCCATGTCAATCAATTCAATCACAACCCACTTCAAACCAAGCATAGCCCATGTCAATCAATTACAACTCCTCAATCAAATCAATCATAGCCCATATCAATCAATCAATCACAACCCACCACGATCAATCACAACCCACTTCAAATCAAGCATAGCCCATGTCAATCAATTGCAACCCCTCAATCAAGCATAGCCCATGTCAATCAATTCAATCAATCACAACCCACCTCTATCCAATCAATCCATCCATCCATCACAACCCCCCTGAATTAAAAATGGCCCAATTCAATCAATCCAACCAATATTTGAAGCACTTTCAGAAATAAAGCCACAAGAGATCAATATTTCCTTTTTAAAAAAAAACAACACAATTTATTTAATGAAAAAAAAAAAAAACACAAGGAAGTAGTTGAGAGACAATGGAACCCCAAAGAAGAAGACGCCAATCCGGCTACGAACTCAGAAATTCTGAATATGGATCATTGGGGAGAGGTGGGGAGGGAGAGAAAAAAAATGAAATTTGCATTCCGAACGAAGGAGAGAAACCAGCAGTTACCAAAAAAAAAAAGTGTATATACAAAACTCATATTTATGTACAGTAGCCGAGATACAGACCACGTTGGAAATTCCCCATCGTCCCAAAATCAAAAAGGATGTGCAAATTCGACACAGCGCGTACAAGGAAACACCGGCGGTCCTTGAATGGAGTCACTGTAAGTCAAGACGGGGGAGGGGCTTGGCGGTGAGGAGGCCAAGGCGGGGACGTTTTTGTGGTGGGCAACCTGGAGATACCCACAGCCCAAAATGGGGGGGGGGGGGAGAGGGAAGAGTGCCACCATTTTTTTGAGCTCCTTTTGCAGAACGGAAAAGTGGCCTGGGTCTCCATCATAACTACCCTTAGGATCGCATCCCACCTCTTGACTTCCGTTCCGGGAGAAGTTCTTCCGCCGTTCTCACAGTCTTCTGGGCCGCTGGCTTGGCGGTCCGTAGGCTCAGGAGCATGGGCCTTTTGACCGGGGTCTTCTTCCGATACTCCAAACCCTGGGAAGTCGGATGGAGATTTGGAGCAGGCGAGGTGTTGAGACTCGACGGTTTCTCGGATCCTTTTTCTTGCCAGATTTTTGGGCAAGGCGATGCAATTCCCCTTTCCAAAGCCTCCCTCTGGAGCAGCAGGAATATTCAGAATTGTGCTTAAATTATATAAGTCCTCTGCCCTAGAGGGAGGGATGGTGATGGCATGGGGGGGTGGGGGATAATCGTCCCCTTGGAACCCCAAATCTGCTGGGGCGGGAGAACAGATCGTTGGTGAAATGCGAACGGTTCACACCGGTTCAATCAACCCGGTAGCCAAAAAATAATAATAATTCTACCGGTTGTGCCCAAAAGCAAGCTCCGACGATCGAAGAAAAGCGCAGGATTGGCCCTTCCACCTACCTGTGTGCTTTTTCCTCTTCTTGATCCTCTCAGCCAATTGGCGCGGCTGGTGTTTGGAAAGCTCTGCGTGCGACGTGCGCGATCCCCCAAACCAGGTAGGGAAACTGGTAAGAATCCCACCACTGGAACAGGTGAGCCAACTCCCGACAAAAGAAGGCAAAAATCAGGGAGGAGAAAAAAAAGAAAGAAAAAAAAAATAGAAATATGGGGATTGTAGACGCTGAGATTTAAACCAGGGAAATGAGATCCTTTCTAAGATGGCTGATCCCCTACAAGGTTTGAAGGGGATCTAACTAATCGGGACCTTGTTGCTGGCTGCTCTTTATTCTCATTATTTTTAACCTTTTAATCCCAAATTCTGAGATTCTCTCATCAGGGGGAAAACTTGGGAAAGACTGGGACAGCAAGCCGCACACCCTGTTGGGGTGGTGGGTGGGTGTGACAAAACCCACCCGGTGTGGTTTTATTGAAGAGCTCCCTAAAAAGGAGGTACGATTTGTTTTATTGCTGATTAAATAATAAAACAATTGCAGATTTGTTTTATTGCTGATTATTGGTGATCAAGAGGTCTGAGCTTGCTTAAAGGGAAAAATTAAAACAAAATAAAGGAGGGGGGGTTAAGACAGCATCTGTTTATCCCCTGGAATTGCAGCTTTTTGGTTTTTAGAGGAGTGTGAAAAGGACGGCGTGGGAAGGAAGGGATCGGAGCGAAGCAGTGAATAAATCCACAGATTTACACCGGAGCATTGATCTTAAAAATGATTTTTTTTCCCCCTTGGAGCAGGGCCGTAGAAGGATTTCTATTCTAAATTTGCCGGGCTGATGTACCACATTCTCGCTACAAAATCCGTTGTTTTGTTTTTTTCCTCCTTTCCAAATCGAGGGCTTTTGAACGAAGAAAATCCAACAGGCTTTGGGATCGCGTGAATTATTCCGCCCAGAGTTTTTTTTGCCAATTCTTGGGATTCTTTCCTTGTGTGTTTGTTGGGGGGGAACAATGGGACAGGAATGAGGCTGGGGGTCCCGCCTTGCAAACAGGTGGAGATGCTGAATGGCTTCCTCGGCAAGAGACCACGTCAAAAGAACGGGGCAGGAGAAAGGAAGTGTGTTTGGATTGGTGTGTGTGTGTGTGTGTGTGTGTCTCTTTTTGCCCTTTGTATTATGGGATGCCCCTGTGACACTCCGGAGATGGCGGTTAGCGGGCTGCGCCGACTAGGGCAAGAATCCTTCCCACCCCACTTTTTCTGTGGGGTATGCCGATCTCCGTTGCTTTTCGTGGTTGGGGAGACGGAGCTAATCCAGTTGGGCGAGGAAGAGGCCGGTTCGCACGAGAGGGAATGTTTCTTCCACTCTCCCTGCCCGGAGAGGGAGATACGGAGGAGGGTGTCCCCTGTTAACAGCCAGGGAGGGTTTGCCGTGTTTGTGCTTCTACAAAAGCCGAAACGAGACAAAAAAAATAATAATAATTGGGATAGCATCTTGAGGGTAGTCAGATGGCTCAGCAGGGGATGGAACAAGAGAAGACACAGTTTTCCCGCGGATGACAAGCTCTTTTGGAAGACTCCGGCACCGTGGTGCCGACCCAGCTCAAGGAAGAGAAGTGGTCCAGGGTCCGATGGGTGGACGGGAGAGATCTTGGAGTGATCAGAAGAATCGGTTCTCGAATGGTGGCACGCTCAGCACGGATGAGAGGCCACGGGAGGCCCAGGGCACGATGTGGCAGTACGCGTTATAAAAGCAGTCGGCGGGCCAGGTCCTTGGCTGGATCGAAAACAACCCCCCTCCCTCTGATTTTTTTTTTGGGGGGGGGGGGGGGGGTGGGGGACCCTCCATCCCTCCCTCCCACCCCACCCCACCCCCTCTCCAGCAAAGCCCGATCTCGAGACACAGGAAACGCGACGCGGGTGAAGGGAGCTTTAGCGCAGCTCTCGGTTGGTGGATGGTTCGGATGGAGGGTGGCGCTGCGACGGAGCCAGGAGGGCGCGGGAAGGTGGTCCTTGCCGTCCCCCCCCCCTTTTTCAGGCTGGCTTGGTGCCAAAAAGTCCCACGGGGAAGTGCTTGACGTGGGTGGGCCACTGGGCGGCCAGCTGAAAGAACTTGATGTCGCTCCATTCCACTCCGTCGATGGAAACTACGAAACAACGGAGAGAGTTTTTGGACAGTGCTCTAGTCTTGGCCTTAGGCATGAAAGCCGGCTGGGTGACTTTGGACCAACCAACAGGAGACTGTGAGTTCCAGTCCCGCTTTAGGCATGAAAGCCAGTGGGTGACTTTGGACCAATCACCAGGAGACGGGGAGTTCTAGTCCCACTTTAGGCATGAAAGCCAGTGGGTGACTTTGGGCCAATCACCAGGAGACTGGGAGTTCTAGTCCCGCCTTAGGCATGAAAGCCTGCTGGCTGACTTTGGACCAATCACCAGGAGACTGAGAGTTCTAGTCCTGCCTTAGCCATGAAAGCCTGCTGGGTGACTTTGGGCCAATCACCAGGAGATGGGGAGTTCTAGTCC